CTAAACCAAAAAACCCCTACTCAACTTAACAAATAAGGCCGGGTCCTTTCCCATGCGTAGGTGTGATAAGTGGTTTTATTTTTATTTATTGAAAGAAGAGATATTGCTTCTTTGTCATGCACAAGCAAAAGTTGAAGCCAACTACTAATTCTCAATTTCTCATAAACTACAAATCTGAGTGTGAGTGCCCCAATACCATGTCATTGCCACTAAAGATGATAATAGTGATTTGGTGTACAACTTTCTCAGCGTCTCCCTGATCAAATTATCAGGTAAATGATGTACAAGCAACTGGATTTTGTTCAAGATACCTTAACAGTAAGATCAACCGCCTTATATGCTGCATCAACTGGCCCTGTTCCAACTGAACAAGAAATATGCTCATTGCCTTCAGCATCTGAGAGTTTGACTGTGGCAGTGGAAAGACCAAGACTTCCACATGTAACCTGCCCATGAAAGACACCAATCACAAATTGGATTGACCCTTCCATTATTTAATTGTTATACAAAACTACATAATGATCGATAATCAAGCTGAAACACATATGATGTGGACATGCCTGTACATCTTCAAGTTTCCAAACAACTTGTGGCTGGAAAACTTCATCCGAGACCAGTGCAACCAAGTCATCATCAGTGATAGTCTGAAAAATGACAGAGAATAAACATGCGGGCACAATTTCGTCACAAACATGCACACTTTTATACAATATTCTCACTTAATGACATACTTTTTTTTTTACAAAGTAAACATCACAAGCCTAGCAGGATTGAAAAGATCCTGGACGAAGTAATCATTTTATAAGAAAAGTAAGAAATAAATTCTTTATATCAACACTGAATGTATCAGGTGATCACTCGCTACATGTCTCAATCCTTTAATTTTTAGGATTTAAACATTATTGCCAAAGAACACATTATTTCATTCGTATTCAAGAGATTCAGAAGAAAGACAAAAAACCCCCATGTACCTTTTTACTTCCCGCGACATCTTTGAAACGTGTAAAAAGATCATCAAGTTCCTTTCCATCAATATCATACCCAAGCTGCAACCGCAACCATAATAAATGAGAATTAGAGGAAAAAAATGGGGATGTGACATATATAGGAGCAATATTATTCATCTACTAATTATCTGATAATGTTATAATAAGCTCAAACGGCAGTTTACCTCCAACATTTTGGCTTTCAAAGCATGGCGCCCACTGTCAGAATGTCAAAAAGTAAGTTAAGAAAGTTCCAGCATGTACATCAAGACCTTCGCAGAAGCATATCTAGGATGCCTACTCTGACTTGTTACTGATTTATTTTCTCGAGGCTCTTGTGTTACTTCTATATTCAGGTTCCAAACAGAGTGCTAAAATTATATTAATGGCCTAAGCTAAAAATCAGGGAATTCATACTTGGCAGATTACCATCACCCCACCGACTAGACTCCAGCTTAGCATGGCTATTATAAGTTCTCTTCTTCATATACAACCTACAACTTTCTTTACTATAGATGCAGAAGCTGATATTGAAAAGCAAGGAAAAAAGCAAACTGAAACGGATTGAAGTAAAACCAGAGGCAAGGACAAGTATTAGAAAACAAAGCCCAGTTTCGAGCGGTGAAGTCTATCCTAAGAATTTTCAAATCTCAATATCTCACTTTCAGTCCTCCACGTTTATGAAACCGAGGAATGAATGCTGATACATAAGACAAGCATTGCAATCAAATATTTAAGATAATGATATCATAACTTAGTTTAAAGTTTGAAGTAAAGGGATGAAGCACAAGTCAGATATGACTTGATATTGAACATAAGTGAGTTGTTATTATTTAGTTATATTTAAATTTTATTTCAAGGTCTCTAGTCTCAACTGGACCGTCACTCTAATGGAAACTCTAGACTCTACGATGCTGGAGACAATCTACAGTTGAATACTTAAATTCTATAAGCCTTCTTAATTAGGAATGCTGAATAGCTGAAAATTGTTTTCTCCTCTTATTTCTTTGCTGTCGTATAAGGTGTTGTTCTCCACTGATTTACACATGCCTATGCCTCATATACAATCAGTACATAGATGATGGAACTACAGTACAAATGCAAAGTTACTGCTATTCTTTGGAAAGCAGTTGCAAATGCAATTAGTTAAGCAGTTGCACATTTGACAAAATGCAGCTAAGATCAGCTTGAAAAACGTTAATTGAATGCAATATATTCCAACTGTATAAACTGGAAACAGTTCCAATGCACAGTCTGCATTTTATTTACAGCAGAAGTAGATGCAGCAGAGTTATTTGAAATTTGAATGAAATGATCATATAATGATACACATCAAATTAAGCAACACAAGCAAGTGAAAAGTTAAAAGAACAATGATAATATGATGAAAGCGTGGAAGTAAACACTAAGGCAATTGAGGTATACCTGAGTTTTCCAAGCACTATACCAGACTCATTGGAGCGAAGAAGTCCAATATCTTCAGGAGATATAATTTCATATGTATTTTTATGTTTGAGCATCCCATCCTGCAAGAAAGAGTTGAAAAGATAAATTATAGAACAATTTTAAGAGGTTTAGTTTGTCCATTGCAAATGGAGCTGGACGAGTCATTGTTGACAATTCTCCTGGCATAGTGCTAATAATGAACTAGATCAAAATGGCTCAATTAAATTCTAGTGCTTCTTCTATTAGTGAAGTTTCTAGAAAAAAAAAATATATCAAACGGCGCAATGCACCTTGGGTCGCTACAGAAACAACCTCCTTGTATAATTACAAGGGTAAGGTCTGCGAACAACTGAACCCCCAGACCCCAACCTGTTGGGAATATACTGGGTATGTTGTTGTTGTTGTTGTTGTTGTTGTTGTTGTTGTAATTTTAAGAGGTTTAGATCAGAGCCATCAGGCAAAAGCTTGACACAACTGAAACATAAACATAAGGATGAAAAACATACAGCAAGAACATGAATAAAGTTCATAACAGTTTCAACAATATAAATTTAAAACTATTTTGGAAGTTAGTGAAAATTCCATGATGAAATCAGGCAAGGGTTCAAATTGCTGATGAAAAAGTTGATAAAGGGTATATGGATTGGGGATGATATATTCCTAGGTATGCATGGCTAGAAAGGATAGTCAGTCAATTATTTTCAGAAACTTCCTTGGCAGCAAACAGGAGTTTGTAAACCATATAATCGTCCTTGTTATCACTCTGTATCATTAGCTGAAAAAAGGTATAGCAAAGCCCACAGAACAAAGTAATGACAACGTCATCCGCATATTTATCCAATTCAAGTAAAAATATACAAGTTAAAAGAAAATTAATGTAACAAAATCTGTTTTTTCACACATTAGCAACAAAATGAATTCAGCTAGAAACAACTTATTTGTAGAGTATTCTTTTTACTAACTTATACACAGCTTAGCTCATGTATTCACAACATTTAATTTAGAAATTCTGAAAGATCATAAGCTACAAAGAACATTCATCAAATTTATCATTTCAGGTTTCTTAGCCTCATATTGTACATTCTTCTAGCTTCTTGTAGGCTTTACTTTCTCATTTAGAGGTAGATTAAGGAATCTGAGACCAGTATTTAGGTCTAAGTATTAGAAAAATTTAGTTGTTAACCCAGGTGAAGATGTGGATGTTCAGTAGCATGTTAAAATGCCCCTTGCCACTGTCTACTATTTCAAACGAGTCTGTTCTTATCCATTTATTTAACAAAAATATACCAGTTTCTCTTAATTTCATTCCACTAAGCAAGTCAAGTAAAAAAATACATGGTCAAACTTGGAACTACAAAATATTAATTTTTGATCAAATTTTCAACGAGTATGAAATACAAAAAACAAAAAAATAAAAAAAAAAAAGCAAAAAAAAAAAATCCAAGAATTCATTAAATAATAGCTTCTTTATAGAGGTGCGGTAATAATTCTTAAAGCATCCTTAAATCATACATTGTCTCCTCGGATATTAAAATTGATAACGAGATTTATTCATTATTTATTCTGTAGTAAAGCATCATTCTCAGTATATAGAAGTAATCCTATAAACACTCTATCCAGATAAATTCACATTTTCCAACAAAAATCAATGCATAAATGGAAGCACATGTGAAAACTCTAAATTGAGAATTCTCTCAGATATAACCAAGCATCACTCAAGTTTCTAGAAATTACTAAGATAGAACCTTTACTGCATAAAATATTCATTTCTCAAAAGGAGATTAAAAAGAATACAGTAAAAAGTATTCCTAAGTCATTCCAAACTAGGAGAATCCTCACTTGCCCCCATTTATTAAGAACCACTTGGGCCTTTCTATACGATTCACTATAACTATCATCTCAGTAAATGACAACCACAAGTTCACCTATACAAACATCTACAAATATCAGTGTTATAAAATTTCAGCCTTGGTGTATGACATGGCAGATTTGTGTGAAACCGCATTAGAAATATGTGAATGGTGGCGGTTATTGTGGGAATATAGCCTGCCGCCATTTTCCACCATCAGCCGTTGACAACACGGTCAAGTATTACTATACCCTAGTTTTCATGTTACGTGACCTCGAAGGGTTTGCAACAAGCAAAAGAACAAGCCATGCCTTAGAAGAACAAAAAGCTTTTAGGCATAACGACTTCGAACAACCACAACTATACATCTTTGGTATTCAGTGTCAAGATGGCCTACATAAAGGCATGCAAATTACTGTTAAATCTATTAAGACCTCTAGATGTCTCAGCCATATGCAAGCCTCAACGAATGTAACACAAAGTTGTTAACAATTCTCTTGATCTAATCCCCTCCAGACCAATACAGATATTAACCATCCATACAATGCAATAATTTAAAGAATGCGGCATTAATATGTTCCCATGCTCAGTTGCCTAGAACTATTACATTTCAAAAGAATATTAGCCAAGCCTACATACTAATGTTAAACCCAAGAAAGATTATTCTGAACAAAAATCAGAAGAAGAAGCCTGTGATATAAAATATATACTCTCAAGATCATAGGTGGATATAACCAAATGAGCAAATATCATAAAATTGTCTAATAGCCAAATATAAAATCTAAGACAAGCCCATTCCGAACCATAAGCCACCACTTGCAAAAGCAACAACAATAATAAAGATTCACAAGTTTATCAGTTGAAATTAATAAAATGGCACATCAAAAAGCCTGAGCAAGGTCAAAATAAAGATGTGAATATGAAAATGAAAAAAAAAATAAATTATTTGAAAACTCCGGCCATTTAACTCCAACCTGATGTATTCCGCTTTCGTGAGCAAAAGCATTAGCCCCAACAATTGCTTTATGTGGCTGCACACGCAGACCACTGTATTCTTCTACCTGAAAATAGAGTATTAGTGAAATTCACAGAAACAACCAAGTCAAAATAAATAAATAAATAAAATTAAATTAAACAAGCACAAATAAGCTGAGGGCAATGTACCATCTTGCTTGCCATAATAATGTGGTGTGTATTGATCCCGGTATAAAGTCCATCCAGTACTTGCTCTCCACGGCATTTCAATGCCATTACAACCTGAAGCAAGCAGAAAAGAGAAATCAAGAGCATTCAGAAGACCAGTCCTTGTGCAAATTGATTGGTCTGACAAAAAGCCGCTGTAACTTAGAAGCAGGAGAAAACAATGTCATTTCTGACAACTAATAGCTTCGTCACCATCACGAGTAGTGAAATGAAAATTATGTTTTTAGGTTCTTTTGTCTCAATAGCATTCAGACTTTCCTCTAGGTAAATTCAGGCACTAAAGAGAAATGGAAAAATGATATGCACTACACTAGAGACCCCCTGCATAACGGAAAAGCACTACAGAACAAGAACAAGAGATCAGAACAGAGACGCACCTCCTCCAGTGAGGCATTACCAGCTCTCTCGCCAATGCCATTAATGGTTACTTCCAGTTGCCTTGCACCAGCATATGCACCCTGAAAACAAATAAGCAACAGTTTGGGTATATGTATTCTTTATTACTATATATAGCTTACAGCACAGATCAAAAAATTGCATACCGCTAAAGTATTAGCAGTGGAAAGTCCAAGGTCATTCTGACAGTGAGTCGAAATAATCACATTTTCAATTCCAGGGGTGTTGACTTTTATATCAGCGATTAATTGTCCAAATTCATTGGGTAAAGTATAGCCGACTGTGTCAGGTATGTTAAGAGTTGTTGCACCAGCCCTGATGACTTCTCCCAGGATCTGGTAAAGAAACTCCCTATCTGATCTGCACGGTACAAAAGAAGAGAAAGGTAAAAACTCTTTCTATAAGAGGTCAGATTAAGGTATTCCAACCATCAATTGCATCCCCCTACCCCCCAGGTTTAAAATAGTGGGAAATTCAAGAAAACTTCTGGTTCAGCGGCTTTCACCATCGTGAACTTTATGGATTAGCTAGTTTTATGCACCTGATGTGGACCCATCAACGTTAAACCGTTCACATGATCTTCAAGTGTATATAGAGTACAAAAGGCAATTAAGCACATCAACCACCAAATCCAGCACCTTCAACAGTTATTGAGGTAAAAATATTTTCATCAAAGTTGGTATAATTTTTTGAAGGCCAAATCAAAACATACAATGGGAAATAGTGCCAACCACACCACTATTATGCATACAATTACCTTTCAGACTACTGATACCCTTAGGGACAGTACAAACAGCATTTAGGAAAAAGTGAAGCTGGTGGTGGAGGATATATACATATAAAGCAGGATAATATTTCTAATGTTACTAAACCATAATCTGAAATGCAGAAGCTAACCAAACAATTCACAGGTGCATCCTTTTCACCAAAAATATAGTCCTTATCTGTAACATTCAAATCCCATTTTAAGGAAAATAAATGATGCGCCGATTTTAAAACAAAATAATCCACCACTCAAATGACTTGAACCCTGACGATTTCGAATTAATGTATTGAAATTAAACATGAAAGAACATGGTTATATAAAGTCCTAATAGAATATTTATATAGTAAATCCAGACAAAAACTATTCTATCACCTTTTTGCCACTTGTGAGTAAAGTGGTTAGAAAATTTGATCCGGTTAGTTACAAATATGTGCTGCAGAGTTAAATCAAATTTCACCACATGCACTTTGCCATCCTCAATCTCTAATACACTCTCTGCAACACTTGCCCATCTTTCCATTTATATGTAAAATCCAAATGTGAATTTTGAAGCAAATAAGTAAAATGATTCTTTATAATAATATTTTAACAAGTCATCCTCTTCGTCTTCCTTTTTTTCCATAGAATTACAATCAGAGAAGTAAATACTCTTTTTGTCACCTTCCAGCATCTTCGGGGCTGAACTCGACGTCCTCACATCCTAAACTTCTGGCATAAGCCACCATGCTCCTAGCCTTCTCAATGACCTGCTCCGGGGTCATCTTCAGCTTAAACTTCATGTGAATTTCACTAGTCGCGATAAACGTGTGTATCCTAGGCTTCTTGGCGAAATTCACAGCCTCCCACGCCCTATCGATGTCCCGCTTGTTGCACCTGGCCAAGCCACAGATGACCGGCACATGATCGGAATCCACATTTCCGACCTCACGCGCGATCAATCGGACACCTTCAAAGTCGGCATCAGAGGAGGCTGGGAAACCGGCCTCGATTATGTCGACCCCGAGACGAGCGAGTTGTCTGGCGATATCAAGCTTCTCCTTGGTGGTCATGGTGGCGCCGGGGGACTGCTCGCCGTCTCGGAGCGTGGTGTCAAATATGCGGACATACTTTGGGTCCGGAATGTGGTTCGGGATGTACTCCGGCCGGCGGAGGGAGCAGCGGATGGCCGTGGCTGGAGCCGCATTTTGCTGTTTGAATAGATAGAAGGAACGGAAAGGAAATTTGTTGGACGGAAAGCTCTTTTGGGCGGCTGGGGCTATCGGTGAGTGGTTGCAGATTGCAGACGCCATTGTTTGAAACTTTGAATGGGGCTAGCTAGGTTTAATATAAACGGGGAGGTTTTAAGAAAGTTCAGCCAGTATTATCAAGTGCTATATTACTTGGCACTAGACATGACCAGGGTCAGTCGGGTCGACCCAGAACGCGTCCAGTACCGGCACGTGTGTATGGGTCATTAAATTGGACTCGTGCTACAAACAAGTCAATTCCGAGTCTTAATTTTGTCTAGGCCGGTTCTGGGTTTGAAAACGGGCCAGACGTTCGAATTGTTTTCAGGCCCGACGATCGATGAGTCGTCGGGCCCGCCAAATGGTCATGCCTGTTGGCAATTGCTCAAGGCATCACATTGAATTAAAAGGCCATGTGTATTAATTAAAAAAAAAAGGTATTCGCACTTTATAATTGATATATATTAAAAATAATAAAAATAGAAATTTAGGGGATGCATGGATATAATTTTTTTTTGTTTTTAATCAATTTTTTGGTTGGGTATATTTTTTCTTTTAAATGGCAGATTAATTAACTAAAACAAGTAATTGCAGCCGGTTAAATAGTCGGAATAGGAGGACTACTCAAGGCAGCCTAGATACCACAACACAGACTACAAGACAAAAAAGTGGTGTGGTTAGTTTTGAAAAAAGTGGTATGGTAAGTTGATAGTGGATTTTAAGTTTATACTAGAATAATATTTAAAATAAAATAATTAAAGTAAAGTTTATTTGATATAAAAGTAAGAGAGAAATGATGTGAAGTGATGATTGGATAAAATTATGTGAGTGGATGAATAGTGGATTAAGTTTGATTTACATTATTTAATTATATTAATAATATTGAGGATAGTAGAATTAAATTAAAGTTGAGTAAGATTTGAATTAAAATGAGTGATTAGAAACGATTAAATTTTCTTAGATAAATTTGTATCCAAGTATGTGTGTTGGTTTACTCTTCCACATAACCGTAAGCCCCATCATCGTCTAAGTCAGACATCCTACACTTAAGGAATGTTTTCATCAATATTATCATTGAGTGCTTGTAAGTTAGGTTTGAAATATTAGGAAACAAGACGTGGATATTTATCAAAGGTCTAAAGCACAAACTAAAACAAAGCATGTAGAGTAACAGTAGCTATCAATGTCAACATAAAACAAACACACGTTGAAGTTAAATAGTCAAACAAACAGAAAGAAATAACTCAAGATGTTCAATGGACTGCAACATGGATGAACTTGTAAAATGACAAGCAAAGGACAACACACATCATTCATTTTTTTGGCCTTTTTTAAGCCAATGGTGCAGCGGTGCATGGCAGTTGGCTTCAGATTTCAGGGTAACAAACATTTTTCGACACGACGGATTTTCAAACTTGTCCAGTGCTACCTGCAAAAGACCCACCGGCAAATCAAGAATAGCCTCTAGCTCGGTAACCACTTTTTCGAGTGTCGTCTGTTGGGGCCACAACAATCTGCTTCGGCGGAGATCGAGTCAGTTTTCGGCTATTGACTGCAACACCGTGTTAATTTGTTGATGCTCTACGGCGTCGAGAGGAACGATTGTTGTCTAGCGTGTACATCTCGTCACCATTGTTGTCACACAACACTTCATTTTCAGGGATGGATTGCGCACTTCTCCTCGACCGGCTTCTACCCTGTGGCGGTTAGGTTGAAGCAGTTGCACCACTACTGGTTGCGGTTGACTCGAAGAAAATGGTTGTCAACTCATTATAGTGCAAACAAGTTCTTTTCCTCATATCTTTATCTCTTTTGTTACCTGTCACGTAACATTTTTTAGAATTCAACAACCCACTTATAGAAAATGCCCCCAGTCACATATTGAAAACAAAATGTGTAAAACAATTCATATTTTGAATTGTATGGCTCTAGACACATTTTTATACCCACAGTCACAATTTTTTGTTTTCCATTCATATTTTCAAACCCCAGACACACTTTAAAAACAAATAAAATAATAAAACTATGGCTCAAGACTAGTATATGTGAAATGATACACAAACTCATACAGAATACAAATACATAGCACATTGTTGACGGGCGTTTCCGGTCAACGGTTAAAAAGGTAACTAATGGAAAAGAGATGATGTAAATACAAGGAAATACGGTTTAATTGCGGTTTTATTGATAGATCGCGAGGTCGGCCTCTCGTACGAGGTCGGCACTTGCAATATCCTTACAAATTGTTACAGAGCAATTACACGGGTTTTAGAGAGAGAAAGTAGAGAGCGATAGCTTTTACAGTTGGGATTCAACAACCCAAAATAAATGAAGTGGGTTGCTATTTATAGTAGCCTTAAATGTGCCACTGTTCAGGTACTGTTCACCAATCTTGTCGTGCAGTGTTTTTTGCAGAGTAGTTCGGCGCCTCCCTGACAGAATTTAATGCGATTTGAGGTTTTCCTCATCATTGTCTGACGGGCATTTAATGCTGACAGGCTTTATGTCTTGGCTAGGGGAAGTAGGTTAACAGGCTAGGGCGTCCCATCCATCAGCCAATGATTATCCTCCAAGTGGCATTATTATAATACTATCGAGGCCGACATCTTCATTGCAGGAGCCCGTCCCGGGACTCCAAGTCGGCACCTTTTCTCTACTGGTTCTTCCGACCTTGGGGAACCTTTCTCCCAGACCGTCACCCTCCAGGTCGGCACCGGAGTTTCGTAATCACAAACGCCGGTCTGACAGACGAACTCACGGGAACGTCCGGGTCATGAAATTTTCCGGTCCAGCTCGGCACTTTATGGGTGGACCGGGTCTCCGGTTTGGCTCTCGGAATTTGTCCGGTTCGGTCTTATCGGCGAACTCGGATGTCAACATACAGGCCCTCGGGCTCAGAGTGGGTGTCCTCGGCATCCTCTGTGAGGCCGTCATCTCAGAATACGTCTGAGGTCGGCGCAGGACTTGGACTTAAACAAATTGCAACCACCATTTGCCCGTTATCTCCAGACCCGAAGCGACGTCTCATTTAATGCGTCGTGACCGTTACGCTTCTTGCCGGTTACGAAAAGGCGTGCCGGTTCAGAACCTTTTCACGTGTCGCTCATTAATTGGTGCTCTCCAAACGGCGTGTCGTCTCAACGAAACGGCGACTTTCGGGGCGCGTGGCTTCCACGCGGCCGTTCACGAACCGTTGGATCGTTTCGCTCCCAACCGTTGGATCATATCATTGATTTCGAATTTTGAATGCTGCGCCACGTGTGTTGTTGTGATTGGTTCTTGAGTTGTATATATATTTCCATCTTCTTCCTTGAGGAACTTTTACGAGCTTTCAGAATTTTCGAGCAACCTAATCTCTTGAGCAATCAGACTTCCGAGCGGAATTTCAGAGCAGTTTCAAGGTTTTTCGAGCTTCTGGGAGATCTCCAAACCGGTAATTCTATTTTCCCCGAAACCTTCCTTTTTACTTTCGATTATGTCGAGTTCTTCTGGGCCCGCTGCGAACCTTCCCGCCGGAGATGGCGGTTTCACGGCGGAGGAGACCGGGGAGTTGGTGGTCTACTCTCCCCCGGCGACTGGGGCGATGCGGCCGCTCCGAGTTACTCCAATCTCCGCCGTCCGTGTGACGTCGGTGGCGGCGGCGACAGGGCCGCCCTGCGGGGATCGTTCGGCTTTTCCAACGATCGAGATAATTGATCTCGGGTCAGGCCAGTCTGACACCGAGGAGGTCGAGAAGGAAACCGGCTCCGTCTCTCCTGTTGAATCCGATGTTGACGCCGAACTGGTCGAGGAGACTCTTCGGGGCGACACTCGTGGACGAGAGCGGGTCCCTATGGGCCGCGAGGACACCGAAACTGACGCCGCAGTCGAAGCTGCCACCACGGCTCCTCTGGGATGTTGGTGCCGCCCTCCGCGGGTGTGGCCCTCTTCCGCCTCGGCTACTGCGTGGACGACCCCCTCGGTGCTGACGGATCTCGATCTGGCCAAGCTGAGGGGCAAGGCCAGCTTTGGCGCCGGGGTGAGAATTTTCGCCCCTTATGCAGGCGAGCGAATACACTGTCCGCCGCCGGGTTGCGTCGGCGTTTATCGGTCGAGTATCTTGCTCGGTCTCCGGTTTCCGCTGCCCGGAGCATTGAACGACATCCTTAGTCACCTCGGCATCGGCATTAGCCAGCTCGTTCCGACGGTCTTTGCTCGGCTCGTCGGCCTTATCGTCCTATTCCGCCAGCAAGGGTGGCCGGATCCCACAAGTGCCGACGTGAGATCTCTGTTTGTCTTCAAGAAGTCCGGGGAGACCGGCAATTACTACAACTCCGTCGCCCCGGGCGTGGACAAATCGTTAATCCATAAGGTCCCGGAATCGCTGCACGGCTATATGCCGGAGTGGTTCTGGGTTGGTGGTGAATGGAGGACGCCCAACGCGACTCGGCACCCCTCCACCGAATTTATTTCTGGCCCTTGTAAGTGTTTTATTTATCCTGCTTTCACCCTTCTGATTTACGGTTTTTCTATGCTAACAGGTCGGTGTTTGCCTTTCAGTCCACAACCCCCACATTGAGCCGAGTGACGAGCTGGTTGCGAAGATCGAAACTCTGCTCGGGCTTGCCGCAGAGAAGCGCAACTATCGGAATCTCGTTGCGGAGGAGTGCCTAATCCAGCACGACCTGTGCCCCGAATACAACAGCAAGCACTTCGAACCCGGTACTTCTCCTTCACTTCTCATTCCCACGTATGAGTACCTTTACGTTTATCCTCACCCTTGCATTTTGTTATCGTTCAACAGTGTACTATCCCCTCCACCGTGAGTGTGGATTTGGTTCGGTGAAGGAGGCGAACAAGTACGCGCGCGCGCATCCGAGCTCCCTGAAAGATCGAAAGATGGCTAGCCGCATGGACTTCCTGACAAGGCAGTCGAAGAAGAAGACCTCGGCGTCGAGTTCGGCGGGGACCTCGGACCCTGCCCCGCCGAAGCCGCCCTCTAAAGCCACGACTTCCCGGGAGGCCGCTGTGGCTGCCAGCTCGGCCCCGACTGTCCCCGCACCCGTTCCCGCAGGCGGGAGAAGGGGCCGGTCTAGTGCCTCCGAGACCGGCGCCGGTCATGGCCG